TTGGATTCTACTTGAAAAATTGGAACGAATAAGGGGGGGGGGGGTTCATGATAATTTTAGATGAAGTTTTTATTAACTATTACTATTAATTAAAATTTAATTATTTTTATCCTAAGTTTAACTTAAAATCAACAGATACTTTGCAATGATTTTATGAGGTTTATCTGATACTTTTACAGGAATTTTTTTTATAATAAGAAGACAATCGTGTCAGTTGATTCCATCTATGTTAAATTTATTGCTTGAAGAAATTTTGAAACATGAAAAAAAAATAAAATGTAATTCTCATATATGCCAATACGCTGGAAAGACCTAGGAATATATATAGCGCATTTTAGCCTTCCATTTTATGAATGTTAAATAGATTTTGGAAGGACATTTAAAATTGCATTCTCGTAAGTTTACACTAGTTTTTCACAGTAAACAATACTACAATCTCTCAATTTATCAAATTAAAGTATCAAATCTGCATGCAGATGGAAACTAAATCAAAACTGAATTAAACGATATAAGAGCCGAGAAAAAGAACTGGATACACACAAAATCCAAACTTAATCTTGTAAACAGTTTAGTGCCATATTCATTATTACCGTAAGATGATGTGATAATAGGATTTCATATATAATAAATGGAAAATCTAAATCGACAGCAGTCATTGTAGTCTATATTCTATAAGTCACCTGGAGGAAATCTTAATATCTGTTCATTTGATTTGATGTCAAGCAGTCCAAACTCGGAAAAACCGTCAGGTCTTACTAACATGATAATGCAAAGGGTTCTTATTTTCACAAGCTTCACAAAACTAGGGTAAAGCAAACCCCCTGAAGTCCCAGATAGTATTTATAGACAAAGCAAATTGTCGATACAAATAGATGCTTCTTTGTAAAACTTCAGAAGCAGCAAATATTTCCATGGGAGGGGATTTTTCTCTGCCCGAAATTGTTTAAAAGTCCAGGCTTTTTGACATCAAAGAGAGCTGTTTTTCCAATAAAAAAGGAATTCGTAAACTCATTTACCTTGTCATGGGTCATTTGCAAAATTATTTTGTTAAAAAACATTCTGATTGTACAAAAATGTTCTCTGAAGTTGATATTAAAAAGATTTATTTGATACCTTGTAGATTCATTTTTCATTCATTTTCGTCGAAGTGCGCATCTGGTGCATCAAAATTTGTACCGTATAAGATTTACATTATGACCCCTGGATCGGGGCCTCTGCTGGTTGACTGTTAATTCCCGAAGGTCTCTGCAGCCCAGAAGCTAAGTACTTCGGCACTAGCTTGAAAATACGGATATATATTTATATAATTGCTGTGGTAAAATTTTGAAATTTATTTAAAAATTAAGGATTATCTCCCTCATGCATAGCTCTGATCCTTCGACGTATTTGACTTCAGTCTTTGGCACCCCTCTTTTTTCAGCTATTCAAAGGTTTTTTATTTAAATATTTCGGATTTCCACCGGTTCGGCATGAGCATCACTGAAGAGACATAATTTGTCGGAATGCGCATCTGGTGCATCAAAATTGGTACCGTATAAGATTTACATTTTAAAAGATGTAAGAAATTGTTTTCTCGATATAAAAATATCCAGAATATTTTAGATAAAATTTTAAAAATCGATCTAATTAAAATAGATTTTTTTCACATTATCATACGGTTTAAACTAATTTGATTAATTTTTTTTCATTATTACAACCACCAATAAATAAAGTTACATATATTATGTTAAATTTAAGTCACCCTATTTAACAATTTTGAACCAACAGTTACCAATTCAAGCATAAACAGGCGATTGAGATTATTTTTATCATTAAGATAATTTCTTCAAGCAAAACAAAAATGACACATTTTTATTTTTTTCAAAATGAACATAAAAGACTATTATTGTGTTTATACAGAGCATAATTAATGTTTGCCTAAGCTTAGTATTAGCATTGCAAAATGAAAAGGATTTCAACTGATTTCTGACATCTATATAATTTTATACGAAACAATGTTAGCCGTTTGCCTGGCGCAGTTGTTAGAGCGTTTGATCTAGAGTCGTGTAGAAAGGAGCTGATCCTTACGTCGCGGGTTCAAATCCCACCGCGGGACGTCGATACCGGTCCTGATGGCCTCTCAATATGAGTGAAAAATTCTCGAAGAAAGTTAAACAAAAACAACAAAGGAACGAACGAAACAATTTCATTGCATTGAGAATGCTTTTCTGACCTCTTCTTTAACAAATTCATTTTGGTTTGCAAAATCTGGTAGAAACACATTTTTAAATAAATATATCTTAAAAAAATAAACTGTATTTTACAATTAAATCTGCATCAAGCACCAAAACAACTGAGTCAATCATTATTGAGTAGAAGTATAGATTGTGAATGGATACAATTTTCGCTCAGGTAGGCCTCCTGTGAAAATATTTTAATTTTGTGATATAGCGCCCGGTTTTTCAAGTTTCACAACTAGTTTTGTACAGAAAAAAATTAGCGAAAAAACAATTCTAGCAACAGAAAGTGGAACTCTTTTAATTTTTTTAGCCATCCAACAAAAGTGTATTGAGCATTAGGTTAGATAAATGTCTTGTAAAAATGCTATTCCTACCAATTTTAAACTTTATTTAGAAAAAAAGATCAAGTTTTTATAAGCACCATTTACAAAATTATCGATATTTTCCCCCTTTGGTTAAAGATTGTGATGAGAATAGCACAACGTTTAACAGCAGAAGTTTCAAATTAATATTTACATGAGTGCATTTCGTTGGGGTTTGCACTCAAAGCCCGCCATTTTAGCTATTTTTTGGACTTGCTCGGTTATTTAAAGAATATCAAACATTTCGATTTTCTCGGACATACCCCTATGGTAGTGTAAGCGTGATTTTCTTCAGATAAAAAGAGTTTCGGGGCGATCAAGTGAAATCTATAGTAAGATATTTCTTATACATATATTGCAAACTTCTGGCAAAAAATTCAAGTAAGTTTTAGTTGTTGTTGATTTTAAAGATTGTTCTTGTCTTGACAAATGGAAACCTTTGACACCCTGATATACACTCATGCTGACATATTTATTTTAATAAGCATTGGTCAACTCCTATTAAAAAAGTTTTACATATTTTTTCCTGATAATATTCTACAAATAACTTCATCTTCCATTTCAAAGGTTGATGATTTTAACAAATTTCAAATTACACGTCTAGGGAATATTTGCATTATTTTGTATATGTCGTCTGGTCAACCTCTCGATGGCAAATTTATGATAGACAGTGGCAACTAGGTAAGATGTGTTAATTTTCACACAAAATTGAAATTATTTATTAATGATTTAGTACGTATTAGCCTCAATAAAACCTCAATAAGATTGGTAGGGTCATTGGAATGATGCGATATTGAACACTTACAGAACAGACGTTAATTTAAATACCAATACTGAAAAATTCTTACTAATTTGAGTTATTTGATTGAAGAAATTAATATAAATCAATGGGCGATGTTTTAGCTATATAACAAAGGAGTTATTGAACTTATATTGATGAATATTGGCACCCGTTGGCTGTACAAATGCACTCGAAAGCTCGTGCATTTGTACAGCCACCTCGTGCCAATATTCACCAATATAAGTTCAATAACCCTTTAACATAAAAAATATAGTATGAAATGTTAAAATTTATTAAAAAGAACAAAAACAAAAACAAAACCAGTGGAACTAACATCAAAGACTGAACAAAACTACAACGTTGACAGTGTTCCGATCCACTTTATCAACTGTAGATTGGTAAACTACATGAACATGATAGATGAAATCAAACCAAAATACCACTCTGACTTATAGACCTGAGGGAAAGCATATTAACCGAGCACAAAATATGAGAAAGTTAAAATATACATAAATTGTGTGGTCATAAAATTTGTATTTTTCTCTTATAAAATGTAATGTGTAATGTAATTCATTACTTTAACAAAGTAATTGTAATTCAATTAATTTCTTTTCTGTATGAGAGTAATAGTAAGGGTAATTCTAATGGTAAAAATTCCAAAGTAATTGTAAACTAATGCATTGCATTTCAAAGTAATTGAAGATCTGATCAAGGGTTTAATAAAGTGTAATTTTGTTTTGTTACAAGCCTCCTAGGCACATTATCCTAACTCTGGAATTTCCGTGAGTCCGTGTTTTATGCCCTACTCACAGATTCAGCCCAAACTCATGAAATTAAAAAAAAAACGATGTTAAAAATTCAACAATATCACAAAGAATGCATATATATTATTGTACTTCCTAAATTTCATTTAATTTAGGGGATTGGAAGTGGACCTTTTTATATCTTGTAGTTGAAAGAACAATAATTCATGTAACGTTGGACACGGGAATTTCGCCGTAATAACCAATAGTGAATGAAGCCATATCATAACTAAAATATTTTTAGATTATTAAAAAGAGAATTTTTAGAATAATTTATTACCTTGGATAAAATATGTAATTTTTAATTTCTAGTGACTTTAACATCTTGAAAAAGCCAGTTTCTTTAAGACATCTAAAGCGTAAGATTTTATAGTACCAACACCGTGCGCAGCGTCTAAACATTGTGTGTCTGTGTTCAGATCTTGACAGTGCAATACATCACAGTCTTGGCGTTGATCAATTATTCAGTCCAAATTTTGGAAATGTGTTTGAATGTGACTATTACTGTTTCTAGATAGATGTCAATAAAAAGAATCAGTTTCATTTTTCATTAGAATTGCTTTAATTGTAGATTTACTGAATACTTTTGCGGATTGTTTTATAATGAAAAATTTAATGAAGTGTGTAATTTCTTTCAATCGATTTTTTTTTCTATTTTACTGCCGATCGGTCGAACGTCCTATATGCTGCCTGAGAAACAAGCTATATTGTATAGGTCTTGTTTCAGCTAATTTGCAAAGACACTTGCATTCATTTTTTTTACATAGATATTGTCAATGTATATAAGATACAAGTTCATGAAAATAATTAATATTATAATATTAATAAATAAGAAAGATATCACCAAAACCTCTGTATAATAATACAGTTACAGTAAAAATCAAGATTCAAGCTGGGGAAAATGTTCATATTTCAACCTTCTAAAGACAGACTAGCAAAATTAGTATATGTACATCGCAACTAATCTAAATTAATCTCGTGTTACCTTTATGTGTATAAAGTCACAGATGTTTCTGAAAACTCTCTCTCTCTCTCTCATGCTTTTTTGTATGTTTTATTACATAGCAGCAATGCATTGAGAGAAAATATGAGCAAGATAAGACAAGAAATGTACTAAATGCTCTAATAAATTTCATTGTACTTTCACGAAATACTTCGAATCATGAAAGAAAACTTTCTGATTTCCATATGCCCAAGAGTGCATTTGCCTCCTAGAACCAAAAAGAGAGGCAGATATTCTTCGAAGATTTTCAGTCACGTCAGTTTTGTTTCTTTTAACCATATTCCGGATGGAAAAAGCTAGAAAACCAACATCTATCAGCGCAGAGAGTGGTCCTATTACTACGCCAAGAATGCTGATTCCTCGTGCAGAAATCCGTAGCACGGCTAATGGGATCATGGTTAACCCCTTAACCATTCTTAGTATGCCAGGTAAGCTTTGAAGTGCCGCAAAATCGAAAGTCTCTATATCTTGATTAGTTTTCATTTCACTTGCAATGTCGCCAAGCCTGCTTATTTCATCTGTAAGTAACCGAAGGTTGACCTGTACTGTTTCGAATCTTTCCTGATAGCCATCTTGATATCTTTTCAGAATCTCGATAGTTTTTGTGTTTAGGATTGTTTCGGTAATTTTTGCACCAGCAGCTACTGTTCCACCTGTAGCTGCAAGAACACCACCCGTAACAGATAAGGCAAGTGACGCGCCTGCTGTAAAAGGGGCAATGCCAATTCCAACAGCGGTTAGCACAGCCCCTATTATACCGACAGAAGAACCTGAAATTGTTGCAACATTGACGTTTCGGCGACGAAGTTCCATTTCAGCAATCACCAGGTCACAAGTTTGTTGAAGGAGGAGGTTGCATTTCAGCCATTGGTCTATCGCATCCCTGGCAATTTCAATCATGGCCTCTATTTTTCTCATTTGCTTTGTAACCCTCCAATCTATTTAGTAAGAAAATGTTTCAAAATACATTGCATTTATTTTGTGCTGAGAAAGTGATTGACACATAATCGAGGAACATTTGCGAATTACGGCTGATTGAACTTGAAAAGAGAAAGTAAGCCTAACAATTCCATATTAGTATCGAAACAACTATTAGAAATTCTTGCACTTCTTGAAATCAATAAATACAGCTATTTATTTATTTATTTTTATATTTCTCTTTCTAAAAGAAGCCTGCAAAATTGCATACACACCGTGGTTGGAAGAAATAGACAAAGGATCCTGAACTCTGTTTGGAACTGTTGGGGCAATAAGTTCACAGCTGCATCCGCTAGTTTTTGATACAACTCTGTAGAATCTCTTTGTCTGTGTTTCGAGCAAGGTCAAAAACGTTTTTCTTTTTCTAGAATTTTCATATCGGTCTTTTTTCTTTCGCAATGGAAAATATTCAGTCCAGTAACTTTCGGCAGATGACTGCGATTCTGCAAATCGTAGCACAAAAACTTCAATTTGGAAAAATGTGCTAATTACCCAAAGTAGAACGTCTCCTGTTGGTAAATCATCTTCAATTCGTGAAATCGCAAAAGTGATTAGCTGTTGTATTTCTTTTTCAGAGCCTTTCATTTTCCCAAATTTTTCCTCAAAAATAAATTTGGTGATGTTTTCAATAAAAGGCAGGTAGAAATTAGTGTTTTGTTGAATTTCAATAGTAAGCTCTTTTAGGAGAAAGTCAACATGTTGCTCAGTTCCAAATATTTCCTTACTGAGGCACCGAAGCAGGGAGTGATCAGAAAATTCCACGAAGTCTATCGTCCTGTCTTTCATGTCCATCCTCTGCTGGACAGTTCGAAGCCCAGAGTATGGTGAACATGGAGGGAAATCTCTGACTTCTGTGCAGTACAGGCTTTCATTTGGCACCTCGCTGAAGTATGTGTCAAAAACCCTCTGTCTCATGTTAGGTTCTATTTGCAGCGTCATGTTTGTTTCAAGTTCTAAAGAATAAATATTCACAAATAACTTGATATAAGAGAATAGCGAGCTCTGAAAATACCATCTGTACGAAAAAAAAATTCTGATGGTCTGTATAATGTACATAGATCCATTTGATTTTTTCCCGCAGAAAATCAGAAAAAGCACTCAGACGTACTATTCTCACTCATGAAATATTAAAAAAAAAGAACAGATATCAATCTCAAAATTTCACTGGAACAATACAAATTAGAAGCAGAGCAAACAGACCTCTAAAAACATCAGGTGGAATAAACTACAATAGAGTAGTATGCAGCCCCTACATGGCTGCTAAACTAACATCATGGAAATGAAACTAACATATTATTAATCATTATTATTATCAGTATTTATCATAATCATCATCTGATTCTTTTTATTAATCATGTGATGTCAAAATCCAGATTGCTTAAGTCCTATAAATTTACCATCCAAATTTACTTTGCGGTATGTAGAGGCAGATTGAAGTTTAAGTGAAGAGTGTTAGTGTAAGTAAAGGTTTTTGACCGTATCCAGTTATAAACTAAGCTCGCCGTAACGTTCTAACCATCAAAAATATTATTATTTCTAAAAAAAGGTAAGTGGAAAAATATAAATTTTACTGACTTCTGAGTGATTAAATACCTGATATTGTCTGCAAAAGCGACACTGGGGGTGGCAAATGGCAATTGCATCCTCCTATTGGAATGATTCGATCAAATGCATCATTTGAGTAGTCAAAGAACAATGTGATGTAAAATCTACATGGTCTTTGTTTGCGTGTTTGGATCAAACTCTCTGGCTCAAATCGAGTCCAGTGAAAGGCTGGACGACACTCACTGTGCATGACTATCATATTGAAGATATATATCGGTAAGCTACTCCAATCGGCGACTCTTTGCAGTTTTTCATCGAGTTGAATGTTTTCATTTTCTAGCACATCAAGTAACTCACTGAAATTGAAAAAAATCACATGATTTGGAACTTAAAGTTGGTTGTTAATGAGATCAGGTTCTATTAGGCCTTATAAGCCCTCCTGTGTCATTTATATAAGGTAATTTTACTTCTTAACAAATGAAAAAAAAAACGTGAAGATAACGAACAGTGATCGATCTCAAATTCTTTAAACCAATAAAAATAAGTAAAACAGGGCATAAAACACAGACCCTGGAAACTCCAGAGTTGGGATCAGGTACTTAATAGGAGTATGATATTCATACCCTGAGGGATGCTCACGATCGCACATGGACCCTATGTATTGAGCAGGTAGACAACGAATCCGTAGTCAAAGTAAGTATTTTAGAAATGATCTACCAATAGGTATGAAATGTGTCAATCAATTAAATTCGACCCAATAATAGGTTGTGCATGTCTTTGCAAACAAGGTCATTATAACGACAAAAGAATTTTCGATACTTTTATAATTAATATAAGCTAGGTTGCTGAAATTCCTATAACTTTATTTGTAAGGCTCATTATTATAACTGTATGATAGAAGAACTTTGTTTTATTCTATCTGGAAATCCTACTTATACTCACAGTTCACTTAGGATTAAATTTCTCCAAGTCACATTTCAGTCTTTAATACTTTTAAAATTCCAGTCAAAGGATTCGATTAATCCTACCCATATTGGATTCATAGACTTCATAAAAATCCCTTACAAATACAAATAGTCGCCAGCGGTCAGAGTGTGGTCAGAGTGTCTGCTCTGGAGTCGCGGAGTAAGGAGTTGATCCTTACGTCGCGGGTTCGAATCCCACCGTGGGACGTGGAGACCGGTCCTTTGGATAAGACCGTATAAATCGAGGTGATGGCACGAAAAAGATCCCTCAATGCTCAATGGCCCTGAGTGCCGAGTATAGCTCAAATTTTGCAGCAGTGGTTGCGTGGCAAGTGGTTGTGTCTCCATATGAGTAAAAAGTTCTCGAGAGGGACGTTAAACAACAAACAAACAATTTAACAACATACAAACAAACAAACTAACTAAAAACAAAATACAAATACATTGACAGGTCCAGCATGTGCTCTACCAAGCCCTTATCTTTACTCCCCACAAAAACATTAACTGATGTAAAGGAGAAACTTCAGACATACTCTAGAAGTTGTGTTAAAAAAAACTCAAAAAAGAAAAAAAAGAAGAAGAAGAAAAAAAAAAATAGAAAATTTAAAATTGTAAGATTTCTTAAAATATCAAAACATATGACTTTTCTAAACTTTATACAACAACGCTCACGATAAATTAAAAAGTAGTACTTTTTATATCATCGAAGACTGCTTCTTTAATAAAAATGAAACTCAGAAATTTTCATTTCTTAAGCTTGTTATTGATCATCAAAAATTACTTTGTTAAAATAACTCTGATTCTACACACAAATACTCTGGAGTTGTTATTCAAAGATGCTGGAGTTCTTCATTGACAACATCTATATAGTCTTTTGAGACTAGGTCGTCAGGGGATGCTTACTTTCCCTAGGCCCGTGATTCAACCTCTGGAATTTCCAGGTGTCCGTGTTTTTTGCCCTGTGCACAGATTTGTGTTGTTTGTGGATTTTTTTTAGATCAATCACTATTCGTTATCGTCACCTTTTTCATTCATACCAATGACCAGGTCTTTTGTTTTTATATCTTATGTCAATACGGAAATGTCCATCTACATGATCAATACATAGGGTTCACGGTGGGTGTAACCAGTCGACAGGGGATGCTTACTGCTCTACTGCACCTATTCCCACTTCTGGAATTTCCAGAGGTCCGCGTTTTATGACTTGGTCACAGATTTGTATTGTTTGTATTTTTTTTTTTTAGATCGACCATTGTTAATTATCATCATCTTTTTCATTCAACCTAATTATCACTGGCAATTCGAGGAAATCTATTTTGTTAGAAAGAACTCTCTCAAACTAAGAAATCTGTACATTGAAATCTGAAAGATATCTTTTTCATAAGAGAAATCTCTCCTTTTTTAACTTCTTTAAATAAGAGATGTAAGTATCCCCTGTCGACGGGTTACACCCGCCGTGAGCCCTATATATTCATCAGGTAGATCCGTTATCAAATGAAATATGAAAACATAGACCTAATCATTGATTGTTAAAATTCCCCCAAGAAATACATAACTCTATGCCTGATTTGAAGGAAAAAAAAAAAAAAAAAAAAAAAAAATGAATTTACCTCGGAAAAGATTCTCTCCGCTCATATATTTCCTTTGTCAATGCGCACGTAAGAGTGCCTTTTCCTCCATTTATTTGATCAATTCGCCGTCCCTCTGTTGAAAGTCTTTCTAAGGCAATCTGGATAAATTCATTTGGTGCGAAACAATCTTCCCTGTCTGGCCAAGTTGTTCTGCTGTTAGGAATGTGGTCAAGATGTTTGTGGAAAGCATGTCTTGTTGATGGACAACATGATGCTCTGACTGAAAGAAAAACGATATGGGTATTTTGTCCGATTCAAAACTTGATACATATCTTGGAAAAAGTTATTAAAATTTCTTCAAAATGACACTCTTCCTTTTGAGGGTGGAATTGAAATAGTTAATAGGATAAGTTATTCAAAACCTTCTTCTCAAGATCCACTGTCCCAAAAAGACAACTTATTTAAAAGTTTCCTTATGTAAACTCAAGTTTGTTCAAATGATAGCCCCAGTATGTAGCCAAAATATGTGTTGAAATTTTGATATCAAAAAATATAAAGGAATTTGTTTCAATAACTTTTTTGAGAACAGAAGGATAGCAATCAATAATATTAATATACTGATATTTCCATTAACTGAAGTTTCATTTTTTTCAAATCATCGCTCCTAGGGTTGGATTGGGCTTTATGAGGGGGCGGACGACGGTAACTTTGTGAAAGGACAATTCTAACTGTTACTCAGGTTTTGACTCTTATCAAGTTACTAAGGACTTTATCTGCAAACAAATGAAAACAGAATCAAATATAGTCGAATAATACATTTACCAAAAGTGAGAAAAAAGGATGGGTACATACAAACTGTGTGATGAATGTTTTCTGCAATCATTCCTATGTGTCCCAGAATCACTGGTTTATCTTGGCGACAGGCGCATTCTTTTTTGTTTGTGATATGCGGTTTATACGAGGAAGACTCGTGTTTCTGTAATATTAAGAGAATAGGTGAATGATAACACTTGATATAGGTACTTGTAACAGGCATGTAAAGTTCCCAACAGTCTCTATCTTCCTTTCCAATGAAAATATCAACGTTCAGAACTGATGATAAAGCAAGCATTTCTCCTTTGCCAGGGGATTTTGATTGCAATCGTACTCTTTCTACGTGATTTCTTAGAAGTCTCTCCTTTTCGTCAAGCTCGGTGTTTTCACTGAAAGATTCGTCTGCATACTTGTAAAATAGATCTACATTCTCTTCTTTCAGCTCAAAGTCGCAGATGGTGTTTATAATACGAACAAAATGTTCATCATCGTTATAAAACTCCAAGCTAAATCTTTTAAACAAATCAGTGGCATGGTCATGATGACCATAAGATGATCTGGTGAAAAGGAGTTCATAATTATTTGAAAATTTAAATCCAAAACAGTCCTTGTGATCTATATTTAGGAGGACACCTGGGCAAGTGCTTAATATCTTTTCATCATAAGATTTGAAGTCAATCAGTCCAAATTCAGGAAAACCGTCAGGTCTTTCTAACATGACAATGCAGAGAGGTTCTGATGTACACAAGTTTCGCAGAACCGGGGTAAAGATAAAACCTCTGATGTCCTTGATAGTTTTTACAGAAGAAGCACATATTCTATACAAGCAAATTGTTCTTTGTAAAACTTCTGAAGCAGCAAATATTTCCCTAGGAGATGGGGATCTTTTCTCTGCCCGTGATTGTTTAAAATCCTTCTCTAAGCAAATCTCTGGTGGAACTCCCCCGTCACATTCAATACACTGAGTAAGAAAAAGGTGAAAATACAAGGCATTCTGCAATTCAAACTCAAATATTTCATTCTTCGTTTTTCTCATATTCCACCATGACCTTTTTTTGACGTATTCTTAATTGCATGAATGATGTAATAAAATGCGTTCTCATCCCTTGGCTGTCCGATGAGCCCAAATCCTTCTCTTTCAAGAATTCCCTTTATCTTTTCCATCAAACTTGTAACAACCTAAAAGCGATTTTGTCGTTAGTGGTATATCATTTTACGTAAGATAAAATATATACTCAGTATGCAAATATAGAAGAAATCTGCTAAAAAGCAGAGTTGAAATGCTTTTGGCTTCTTTAGAGTCATTCTCTGTAAGCATCAAAATGGGCTGGAAATTGACTGTCACCGATTTTGTTGAAACTTGGTCAAATAATTACATTGTATGCCAATTTTACAAAAATATTATTGGAAATGATCAATAGGTCTTGTTTCCATGGCAACAGGTCTCGTATTTTCGCACATTGGAGGAAAATACCAATAAATGTAATTTCACTCCATTAATGTATATTTAATTAATATAGGTGACTATTATTAATTTTTTTCCTAAAAATAATTTGTATTTTGTATTTTTTATACAAGAAAGTTGCAAAAAAAAAATCTTGGACCCTCCAAGAAATGGCAAATAATATCAAAAAATGCTTTAAAAATGGGGTGCGGGACATAACAGTATGCACAAAAAACGCAGGCACTTCTGGAATATTTTGATGCTCTAAATTTTACCCTGAACAATAATGAAGAACATATTAAAAAATTGGAGAGGTATATTTGTTTAATTTGAGAAAATAAATTGATTGTAAAGTTTGTAAAAATCTCTCAATTTATACACATTTGTCAAGAGTTATTTCCCTTTTCGGAAATCAAAGAAAATGAAAGTGAAAGTAGAGAGCAGAACATGATCCAGAGGAGTAATTTCTATATCTTTTGGATATTTTCAGTTATGTTTAACCCACTTTGTGTAGTATTTTTATTAAACATAGTTAAATGTTTGTTCAGGCCTCACTATTTCTGAGAAATATAAATGTAATGTGTATAGTGGTGATAAGCATGAAAATGGATTCCACCTATTGAAATTCCTATGTGACACGTACTGAATCATTGTAATAAAAAGTGTCTAAAAGCAAAGTAACATCAGTTACATGGACTTCAAAGCTACAAGCTGGGTGGGATAATAAGGCTGTGATGAAGAAAGATACCTGGCAGAGAGATCACTAGGCAATAACAGTGAAACCTGTATGCTAAATTTTTTACTTTTCTCAATATTACTCCAGCTCACACACTTTCTGTAACAAGTTGGTTAATAACAGGGTATGAATATTTATAGGATTGGAAAGAAACATTAAAGTATCTAAAACATAATACTGATAAGAATCTCATTATATCAATAATTCAATGTCTGCATGTATACTGTAGACACATTTTTAAACTATCTGTTGATGAAAATTATGTTAACCTAAAGCATACAGTGTATATGACATAAATTACATTGTCAGATTTTAGGCATAGTAACAGCTCTCTGTGTGTCTGCTTTAAAGAGGGGAATAACAAGTTATTGCAAGGCAAGGTATTTCATCCATTTTAAAAGCATGATATTCATTGGTTTTTTTTTCTTCTTCTTGGTGTTACATGTTGACCTCAGTAGACAGTATACACACTCACTAAATTGGACATGTGACAACATTGCAAGTTTTATAGGTTTCAGTTTGTTCAGGGCTTAAATTTGTTCTGTTTTTTTTTTTTGGGGGGGGGGGGGGGTGCCCTTTCATTAAGGAACTCATTACATAAAATTGTAACAACTTTGAAATTTATCTCTTATTAGATTTTTTAATGGAAGCAAAGTAAGAAAATTAATTATATATAAAATTATTATTTATCATTATTACTAAACACTCAGTTAAATTTAAGCCAAATTACAATGTATATACTTTACTGAAACAATGGGTGCGCATCATTACCGCTACATTTCAAAATTAATTGTCATTACAGCTACACACTCATTACCGCTACAAAAAGGTTACATTACCGCTATATTTAAAAGTATACATTACCACTACATTGCCTCTTTCGTTAGCCAGCGGCTTATGCATATACAGATTGATTTAAACTACATGTACATCCATAAGACCTGTTTCACCTGCTCACCACGGGGAGGTGAAAGTAAGACTTTGAACCGAATGTTTTTGTTTTTGTTTTCAATTTTTATTTAAAATCTATTTTATTTAATAAAACATTTTAGAAAGTGTTAAAACCGAGCATCGTTCATGGATAAAACACACGCCGTCTTTACATAGTTGGTAGAGCTTTGAAGACCATTTGCTTGATGTACTGCTTTCTGGAAATCTCTTATCTGAATTCCATGTATAATGAATAGAACTTATATTCTGTGTGATTGCAGGCGAATTCGATATGTAGCGGTAATGAGTTGTAATCGACAATAGTCTTATTGATAAAATGTAGCTGTAATGATCACCCGAAATTTGGAAGAAATGTAGCGGTAATGAGTTGAAATTTTTCGCAATGTAGCGGTAATGTTGACCTCCCGCAACAATATCAACCAATACAATAAGGTGGGGGAAAATATGGCAATTTCCAGTGGAAAAGAATTCCTTTTACATGCATCCAGATGTTGAGGATATGTATAACCATGATAAAGCTCATAGTTGAAATCTTGACTCATAGATTTATGTGTCCAAATTTTAGCAGAGAAAGGGTCATATTATATTTTGATTCTTATGTCATATTTTATAAGGATATCTCATTATTCCATTTACTACAAACCTCATGTTCTAGAAAATATTTTAAAAAATAGTTTTATGTAAAAATGAACATAAAAAATATTTATGCTAATTGATCATAGCCATTTTTAATTTTTTTTTTGGGGGGGGGGAGGGGGGTTCTCATTTTTTTTAATTTTAAAACTCCCTTTTCAATGAAATTTGGGTATTCATATTCGATCACTTTTAATTCCTATAAACCAAAAATGTTCTGTGCCATTGTTAAGTTGAAGTTGTTTAATTGGTCATAATTTAAGGAAGAAGATGAAAATATAATTATATATTTTGCATGTAAGATGTACCTCATAATTAATATATTTATGAACATATATGTAGAACACTTAATCCAAAAAATTCATTTATTAGTACTGGTGAGCTTAATACCAAAACTGATTAATATTAGTAGTTTCTTTGATAATTAATTAACAATGATCATGATACATGTACTCGTACATCCAACATATTTTTTATCTCCTTAATGCACAGGCTGGGATATTCATTTTAGATTCAAATATTCTGGTGTTCAGTGTAGTGAAGATTTGTTTTTGTTTAAATTGTGGAGAAAAAGGAGAGGGTTCGGGGGATAACACAGAAGGGATCTCACTGCATATGACTTTTATATGGGGTGGGTTGGGGTAATGATATATCTTATGCGAACATTTATGGACATTTGGCTCTTTTAAAATTTTTGGGGTTTTTGTTTGTGAATATCCAATACCGTAATTATTAAACTAAATTGTTTTGTTTGTAGGAAAGAGTAAAGAGTTGCTGGAATACTGTTTGGAAATGAGAGAGATATGCTTGTGGTGATTTTATAATTAAATATTCAAACCCAGTTAAATATGTACACTGACATCATTATGCGAGGGCACAAGTAAAACCCTCTAAAATGCTGAATGAGGACAGGGAGAGATTTTATTGGATATTAAAGATTACAAAATGAAAGTTTTCTCTTCTTGAAGTTATGCAACTAATAAGCATTACAGAGATGCAGCTTAAAAGAAGTGAACAATGATATAGTTGTATTGGTAAATACATGTTGGTATTTCATTTGGACAACTAAACAAATTCTTTACTCAATGAAATAAAAAAAAATAATGATTTGTAACCTAAGGCAATAGATGAATTTCAGAATTTATAAGTGCATTGATTTTATGAAAATGCATTGATTCTATGAAAATCTTCTTCTTTGCTACTGGAGATTATTTAAACAAACTAAGTGCATGATTATGATAGGCAAGGATGCCTCTTCCAAAATTTTTAAATATATGGCCTCAGTTTTTGGTGTTCTTGAGGAGGGGGGGGGGGAGGGGGGCTCTATTGATTATATAGTGAAAATGCATTAATTCTATTAATTAATCATTAATTAATCCTGTCTGCTCCTTAGTGTTGAGCTGATAAATAAATTGCTTAGCTATGATGTAAATGGGAGCTTCGAACAGAATTTTTAAATCTTGTGGTCCTAGGGTCAGGGGTTCTGGCATAACGAGGAAGGGGGGGGGGTTGGCTTTTGATAATATAGTGGAAAAGTGTTAATTCTTTGAAGTCCGTAGTTATGATGATGAGGGTAACTCTTCCAAATTTGTAAATTTCTTGACCTTGGTCTTGGGTTCTGGTGTTAGGGTAAGGCTTTGTTGAATCTGTAGTGAAAATGCATTGTACCTGTGAAATTCTTCTCTGCTTCTGGGCATATCGGAAGCAAACTGAGTAAAAGTTTAAATGATATAAGTAAGCTTATTTCTACCAGATTTTTGAACATCTGAACCATTTGTTTAAGCAGGGCTCTATTAATTTGTATTCTACTGATAGAAGTTATTCCCCTTTTCCATTCACCTCTGATAATTAATCACTGTAAATAATGTATTTGAAAGGTTAATAGAATAAGATAATTATGCAAGAATGTTTATCGTATAATTCAAAAAGTACTTTCTTAGTTTTAATAATCAGGCAGACCTGTAAGTAATAGATAAATAAAAATGAGACAAAAATAACTTATCTTATTAAAAGTTCTTCAAAGACCATAAGAGAGGTCAATGCTAGAGGTCTTAATATGGGTTTAAAAATAGTACAGAAGCACTAATAGTTTGTTAATAGTCTGCATGGTGATAGTGTTAAGTGGGGGACAGATTAGAACTTAAGTTATGAGTTGATACTGAATACTAGACTAATTATTTTGTTGATCCTGTTCTTCCTACTTCTCTTGCTTTACGGCAACAAAGCTTCCACTATCAGTGTATTTAACTTCTAAATTGTTGTATTGTACTCAGGTGACCGTTAAGGCCCTTGGGCCTCTTGTTTTAATATAACTTCAGTTATAAATTTAACTTAAGTTTACCTGTGTATCAAGTTTCATTGAAATCTGACTAAAACTGCAGGGAGAGAGTTCTAAGACCAG